TGAGTAGTACTCCATTTTATTAAAAAAAACCACATCTTCTTTATCCAGTTTCCAGTTGATGGGCACTTGGGCTGCTTCCAAGCTTTAGCTATTACAAACTGTGCCACTATGCACATGGTTGCACATATATCTCTGTGGGATGATTCTTTTTATTCTTTTGGGAAAATACCCAGCAGGGGAATAGCTGGGTCATATGGGACCTCTAGTCCTGGTTCTCTGAGGTATCTCCACACTGATTTCCATAGTGGTTGCACCAGTCTACACTCCTACCAACAATGGAGAAGGGTTCCTTTCTCTCCACCCCCCCACCAACATTTGTTATTGGTTGATTTCATGATAGCAGCCATTCTTTCTGGGGTGAGGTGGAATCTCAGTGTTGTTTTCATCTGCATCTTTCGAATGACCAGTGATGTTGAACATTTTTTCATATATTTATTTGCTGCCTTTACTTCTCTGTCTGAGGAATGTCTGTTCATTTCAGATGCCCTTTTTTGAATTGAGTCTTTGTATTTGGAGGGTCTGATTTTTTTCTATTTCTTATATATTCTAGATAGTAGCCCTTTGAGTTACAGCCTCTAAAAAAATTTCCCACATAGTAGGTTGTCTGTTAGCTCTGTTGGTGGTTTCTCTTGTGGTGCAGAAGCTTTTTAATAGATGAAATCCCAGTTGTTGATTCTTTCTGCTAGTTCCTACGCTATTGCACTTTTGTTCATAAAGTCTTTTCCTATACCAATATCTTTAAGAGTTCTACCTAACTTATCTTCCAGCAAGTTTAGTGTTTCTGTTTTAATATTAAGATCTTTAATCCACTTCGATCTTAGTTTAGTGCATGGTGATAGATATGGGTCTAGTTTTAATCTTTGGCAGGTTGAAATCCACTTCTTCCAACACCATTTATTAAATAGGCTATCTTTCCTCCAATGAGGGTGGTTGGCTCCTTTGTCAAAGATGAAGTGGCTGAGCATGCCTAGAGTTGTTTCTGCATCTTCTAATCTATTCCACTGAGCCTCAGGTCTGTTTCTTTGCCAGTACCATGCTGTTTTTATCACAGTAGCT